TCGATAATCCCGTGCAGTTGTGATGTGGCCGTCGGTACGTATCTGATCATGTATCCCAAGTGACATATTTTTCGTCTCATCTCGACTGATGTAAATTGACTGCCTTGGTCGAATTGTATCGTCGAAACTCTTCTTCCGGATAATACGTGTAGCTGGTCGGATAATTGCAGCAGATGTTCCAAGATGTTGGCGGTTGTTATAGTCGATAATAGTGCGACCATAAGATATCACGAGTGATCGTCTATTAATGTCAGGGCATATCGGTTGTTGTCTAAAGTAGGGGGGCTATACTGTCCTATAATATCACTTAGTGTAAGTTTCGGTCTATCAAGGCGATATTAATGCCTTAGAGTAATTAAACGCTTAGGTTAAGTCTCAGTATAATTAAATTAATTCAATGTAAATGAACGAAATGAGTCTTTTAGTAAAGTTAGGTATGCCTCGTGAAAACAGCAATACTCTGAGGGATTGTGAGGCTGAGACATTGCCTATATATAATCCTCTCAGTAGCTCTATTAGAAACTATGGTATGTTTCACTGGGGCGAATCCGAGAGACTCATAAAATCCTATCTTTAGAAAAAATATATGAATAAAAGAAAAATACTCTTGATGTCCATAGTTATTGCATTAACCAATAACTTGCCCCTTATCAAGAATTACCGACTTAGCCTTCATCAGACAGACCAAATCTTATATTGGTATTTTACTGGGGCCTTTTAATGGCCTTGTCCAAATATCTGATATGTAAAATGGAAAGGTATTTAATTAATAAAAACCGTTAAAACCCATTTAAGAGTTTACGTACTTTTAAAAGTATGTGTTACGTACTATTGAGAGTACGCTCATATTACAAGATTCTAATGTGAAGGCCCGGCTTTTACATAGCCACCACCCAGCTTCGAGACCCAGGAGAAGCAAGTTGCTCACTAAAGCTGATTATGGGTAAAAAAAAGCGAGAAAGGAAAACGGGTCAAAAACATTTAGTAGCACAACGTATAGTTAATGTTTTTTTCAGGCGTAGAAGTTAAGCGTTCTCGGTTACCCTGTGAGTTTTGGGTTTAGGTCCAGTAGGTCCGTGGTGGTCGACTGGACGTTTCTTACGCTTCAATATTTTTTGGAACATATGAAGGATGAGCAGTAAAGCTCGGGATAAATGCTGTTGGCGGGTAAGTTTTAACTTCCGTGCCTTCAGACGATGGAAACATGCTATCTTTTTCAGCCTATGACTTATGTAGGCGTTTACGCCATTTTCTGTTAAAGGCCTTTAAACAGTCCAGATTGTCAAAAGCGTCTGAAGTTAACTCAGCGATTGTACCGTCTATAAAGCGTGTACGATAGTATGTATATCCTCCTTTATCCGTTCTCCATATAATATCTTTGAATTCGGAGCGGTTAAGAGGTGCAGTAGAATGATGCCTTCTTGCGAAAATAATCTCAGTAGTCGGAATCCGACTAGTGCCTATATTTAAAGAATTAGAACCGTCGGGGTTATTAACCTCATAGGTTCCACTTTTAGTGTCGGCTACAGAGATTATGTATGGTCCTATTCATTTCGATTTTAGTACAGTAGCATCGGAATTACGTTGACGGATGTTAACCCTGTCTCCAACCTGATACTCTGCTATCTTTTTGGTAGCATTTAATAAGGCCGCATAGGTGTCTCTCGCAAGCAAGGATTTACAACGTTGTGTATGCGTTGTACCTTCTCTAACCATGGTAACTCATGGTGATCAGGTTCGTCCTTGTTAAAGGATATTTGTAACTCACTATATCTGCCACGAAAATAGTGAGCGAGTGTTATTCCTGTAACCGGATCAGTACACTCGTTCATCTGTGTTTGTACCCACTGAAGGTGGTACGGCCAAAAATTAATGCAGTACGTAAGAAGAACTTAAGTCTTCTGTGGCGCGTTTCATTAGCGTCTCGTGTTTGCGGTTTATATGGTACACCCCTTTTATGGCACATGCCTGATACGAGTACTAACGATTCCATTACGTCATCGCAGAACTCGCTACCGTTATCAGTGTGCATTATACCTGGCCACCCGTGGTCAGCAAAGACTTGGCAACATAATTCTGCCACGGTCTGCGTACTCTTGTCCTTTGAAGAAGAGAGCATGTTGTACCGTGACGCTACATCAAAGAAGTGGCATACGTAACGGTCGCCTGTGTGCTCGGTCGTAGGCAGGTCAACCAGATCAATGATGACCCTGCGCCATGGAACATCTTCAGTCACACTCTTAAGCGGTGTGAACCCATAGCGCTTAATCTGATTGAGACCACAGTCTGTACATGACTGATATACTCTGTCAACTAAAGTTGCCAGCTTAGGGTGCGCGATTCCATTTCGCATAGCATCTTTAAGTGCGTCTACTACGTTCTGATGCTTCAGCTTATGGTTTTGCGTCAGCCAAGCAAGAATGTTTTCATCATTCTGCTCCTCCAGAATAAAGGTAGGGTGTTGAGAATCCACTTGCGTGATCTCTAAGTCTGTAGTGTTTCCAGACTCCTGTCCTTCTTTCGCACGAGTGTCATGAGTGCGCACGTGTGCGTTTGATACACCTAACTTATTTAATAGTCGCTTTATATGTGTATATGCTTCGGGATTATCTTTCACGAGGTGCAGTAGAATCATGCCTTCTTGCGAAAATAATCTAAGTAGTTGGAATCCGACTAGTGCCTATATTTAAAGCACTAGAACCGTCGGGGTTATTAACCTCATAGGTTCCACTTTTAGTGTCGGCTACAGAGATTATGTATGGTCCTATTCATTTCGATTTTAGTACAGTAGCATCGGAATTACGTTGACGGATGTTAACCCTGTCTCCAACCTGATACTCTGCTATCTTTTTGGTAGCATTTAATAAGGCCACATAGGTGTCTCTCGCAAGCAAGGTTTTACAACGTTGTGTATGCGTTGTACCTTCTCTAACCATGGTAACTCATGG